AGGAGGAAAAGGCAATTTTGGTGATTAACAGTAAATTCTACTTAGAAAGTGTGACTCTATTTTCACTTTCTTAAGTTGACACACATTTCCTTATGGACTTCAGGAATGAGATTTTATAACAAAATCAATAAATTACTTACTGCACCATAATGTGATTTAATTTACAAACTATTTAACAATGAAAAGATGTTTGCATCCTGCACCTGGATGACCATGAATCACAATCATCGGTGGCACATTCTGCTGTATTCGTTTTAACACATGGAGTACCTACTGCTGGTTGACCATGGTAAAAACTTTACTGTAACAGAATTGCATATTTGAGTTATTTAGGTGAGATCTACAAACCGTTTTTATTTAGGAAACAAGAAGGAAGAAGACTATATTGCTAGAGCTCATTGTGGCTTATTTTGGATCAAACAAAATTTTGTTAAAAATTAGGGTCTGAGACAGGCCTGTGCTAAAATTTCAGGTACTCTTTATGACAAGGTCTTCATTATCTTTTGAAAACCAACTGAAAAAGCACTGTTGGAACTTACACTGGAAAGCTATTTCTTTAATACATCCATCTGCCAAGAAAAACTCTTATAATATCTGAAATTAAGGAAGAGTGGTACATAAAATCTTTTGAGAAACAACAATTAAAGTCATCTAATTAAATGGATTTATTTAAATATCAAAAACAATCATTGCTAGCACTTTAGGGGGGCTGTGGATTAAGTTGCTATGTAAAGGGATGAAATATTTATGTTTTTAAAAAATGTACTTGGAGAGGCAGCGGGGAGTTGAGCAGACTCCCACCCAGGCTTCATTGCTTCCTAAGGAGCATGTTGACTATACTGGTATAACTGTTTAACCCATGTCTTGGTTTCCTCATCAGTCAAATAAGGAAAAGTCATCTCTCTCCTAAGGTTACTGTGAAGATTAAGTCAGCTAATATGTGTAAAGCACTTAGAAAAGTGCAGGCTAATACTAAGAACTCAAAAACTTTAGCTATGATTCTTATTACTGGACTTCAATTAAGTAAGTACTCTTAATTTAGCAATTTGTCCCCCCTCTCCTTTTTGGAGCAGCAGTAGGAATCAGGAGACCTGTGCCTGAATTAAAGATCCACTCTTTGCCCTTGATTCACTTGGCAGAATTGAGCATTTGCTGGCACCAGGCACTAGACGTTATTCTGGGAGCTTTTTGCAACTTCAGATGTCACCAATGTTCCAAAGCTGTCTCCTCATCTGTAAAATGGACATAACAACTACCTGTTTTGTTCATAAAGTTATTTTGAAGCTCAAGTGAGGCAGTATACATTAAAGCACTTTGAAGACTTTGTAAAGCACCACCAGAATGAAAACTTTTTGGTTAAGATATAAGTATTCTGGTGCAAGTTGTCGGGCACATGTAGGAATGTGGTTCAGGCTGCGTAAGTCTGGACCCTTTCAAAGCAAGTTTATTACTCATAGTTCCAAAAGGTCTTTTTAAAATTTTAATGAAACTACACTATGCTTCTTTATAACTGCAGTATTGTTTATAAAACAGTAATATGCTTCATTATAAAACTGTTTCTCTTCTTGAATCCTAACTCTATGGAGAATATTAACAAATAGTTGTTAGGAGAAATATTTTCCTTCAGAAATTGCAAAGTTGCAAAGAAAATGTCATGTCATGTGCGTCTCTGGGCATAATTATCATTATATAACTAAGCCAATAATTACCAGTTTCATTAATTACTAAATGCTTTATGAACAATATTTCACTAAACTTACAGAAATCCTATGAAACAAGTAAATTAGCCCCATTTTGTAGAATTAGATTGAAGTTACCAAAAACCGCCTTCTCTTAACCGCTACACTATGTTACACAAGATGAACACAACAAGAAAAAGCCAGCATCATTTCTATCTTCACGAAATGCCATCCTTAAGAACACTGGTAGATCAAAGAACTTCACGCTATATTCTGATCTTTGGTAATAAAATTGACTTTAAAGAAGTTATTATGTAAGTGCTTACAATTCAGTTAACTTTAAATCTTTAAACAATGTTAGTCTTTTTCTGATTTTCAAAATAACATGTTGTTCACTGAAAATAAACAGAAAAAGGTAAAACTAAAATATTCACAATTCTGATTCAGGAGAACCATTACTGATATGTTCCCTCTGCATATATTTTTATGAAATTGTGAACTACAGAATTTAGTTAGGTTTTAATGATTGTTCTTAAACATGATGCCAAATACATGTATAATGGCTGGACTCAAGTCTTTTTAATTGGCAGATATCAATTAAGGGTACATTTTGTGAAGGTAGAAAAGAAAATTATTATTTTATAAAGATATGTATTTTCAATATCTTCCCAAATTTTCCAACTACAGGAAAACAAAGAATAACTTATCTCAGTGGTATTAGTTCTGAAGTATACTGGCCATAAAAGAAAAGTAATTCTTGAATTGACCTTTGTATGTGTATATGAATATACAAACATGTATAAACATATCCACACATCATACTCTTGCATAAGGATTAAACTTTTTTGGGCTGTGTTAAGATGTATAGCTTTTTGAAGGCTTGGTAATATTATAATAACAGTAATCATATCAGAACAGTTAAAGGAGAAAATTATTTTCTCTGCTGAAGTTATGCTTATGAATGATTAAATTGTAAGATTTTGCCTTATATGAACAGGTTAAATATTTGAGAAAAGAATATTCAAGATAGATAGACAAAATTCTTCATAGGTAATATCAATCCTCAGTATGAATTCAGAAAAAAATTCTATCATTTATGAAATGGTATCACAAAGAGAAGACAAACAGTAACCAACCAGCAGAATACTTCAGGACAAAGGGTCCAGGTATGGTGTCAAAGTGTATGTGAGGCCACATTACTGGTGACACTAAGGTGACTAAAATGTCACTTTTTAAACTATTACTAGACGTAATTTATGTGACAAAAAAGGGACAAGTTAAAAATATACAGAAATCCTTATAGAAAAAAGAAGGCAGACATGGACCAAAAGTTCAAACTTTCTAGTGCTGCTTCTTATGTCAGAGGTTTCAGTTAGCCATAAATGCCAAGATCCTATTTATATTGCTTATGTATGATTTATTTAAAATTACACTAATCACTGTAAGTAATATTTTTAATGTAAAAACCAAGGTAGACTGATTAGTGGGTAAGAATAAGAATGTTCAAAAAAACTACACTTTGAAAGTTAAAGAAAAAGATAAGCTTAAGATTAACCTAAAATTCTGTCTAGACAAAAAAGAATTAATGGTTTCTACTAAATGTTTTTGCATTTTCAATTTACATGAAAACATATAATGTATACTGGGTGTGTGTGTATTTTTTACCCTGCAAATCAAGTTACCAGGTATTTCTAAATTAGCAAGCTAAAACTATACGTACTTCTTTTGGAGAGTGAAACTGTTTATGTCCTTAAACAGAAAATTTTTGAGCCAAAGCATTCTCCTCTCCAACTAAGAAATGAGAAATACAGTAAGTAAAATGACATTAAAAACATAACTAAAGCTTGTTCTCTATAAAAGAGAATATAAGTGTTACATACCCTTATATCACGGAACATTATTTTTTCTGACTGTGAAAAGGCTATGAGGTAACTATATATAATTTCAAACAGGATTCCCTTTAATTTTACATTTATACTTCTCTTAAAAAATAGCTTTTAGCAGGTTACTAATTAAATCAAAGTCATGATTTATAACATTGTCTTACTTGAGAGATTTAGTTAACCTTACAAATAGAACAAACTATGTTTCAAAACTATATTTCCAAAAAAAGTAAAGAAATGGGCAGATACTTTAAATTTAACATTGATTCTAAGGGGGAGGAAAGCATATTATGCCATATTGTCTATAAATATTTACTGAATAAATAAACATGGTTCACTTGCTCTTTTAAAAAATCTTATAAGCTGATTAAATCACAAATATGTTGAATCAGTTTTAGGAAAAATAAGAATTAGGCTTTTAAATAGTTATAAAGATAAATTTTAATAAAAAAACTTTCCACTTATCTTCTTTTGGGGTTAAAAAAACCAAAAATCAAAAACCAGTACCATCAAATCCCTGTTTCAGCCTTAGTATTTTAGAGGGTAATATATTAGGACATACTATATCTATTAACGGCATAAAGGTACTTCACCTTGAAAATTTCACTTTGAATGCTCAAAAATGAATTGTAAAAACATCACAAAATATGATCATAATTTAAATTCTGAATATGGAACCAAAAAAACTACAAACCCAAACTCAATAAATCTGCATTCGATGCTTACAAGTGAAATGTAAATTTCCAAAACAACATACATAACTCATTTACATCAGATTCAGCTGTCACAATAGACTCTTTGTCACAGACAGTAATGTGTCCCTAAGTCCATGTTTCCTTGAAAGTCATAATATTTCTGAGGACTCATTCATTATCTGATATGAATGTGTTCATTCAAAAACAAAGTTAAAGTAATGAGTCTATGTTCAACTTTATCTGTATAAAGTTATAAGGCATTAATCACAATATGTTAAAACAAATAATTTATGACAAAAATAGATAAAAACTCTCTTAAAAATATCTTAATGGAGAAAATCATAGAAGAGAATAAAGCTCTTATTTACCACACATGTACTTTGAGCTTCTACTGCGATGAAAAGACTTTTTTGGCTTACAACAGACTGTTTGCCTTGAATGGCAGGTGTCCTTATATAACTGGGAACTGGAGCTAAAGTTCTGTCTAAATTATTGTGAAACTGACACATTCAAGTATGCTGACTACTGTTAATAAAAGTAGAAAAGGTTAGTTACAATATCTAGTATTATTATTAGTAGCATTTACTGCAAATTATCTGATGATAGTGTTGTCTCCTAGAGTGTGGACTTCAGTCTTGTGCCAAATAACAGTATAGAATGCAAAAACATGGTTCAAATGATGATGGGTGACTTGGCTAGTATGTAGCCAGAACAAAGGAATTTGTTTATAATACAAAAGCAAGTAAGGAGCATAGCTTTATTTTAACATCAGTTGCTTGAACTGTGTAATGGGTGTCTTGGTATCCAGAGGCAGGAATAATTTCTTCTTAAGTTACAGCAATGGGAAGGATGAGGGTGGGGCTGTGGCGATGGACTGCTAGAACACATACCTGAGCTCTACCGGAGCCACGTGACCTTGCTGTGTGTCAGTTATCTGCAGAGGCTGGCTGAACAAAATTGCCTTCATCATGCAGGCACTGCTATCTGCACTACAGTAATAAAGAAACACGCTGATAGATACAATGGCTTCAAGTGACAAGCAATCACCAGGAATCTGAAGTGAAATCGTCGGCTGATTAGAAATGTTCTCTATGTCTCCAGATGGTGTCTGTCCTTGAAGAAGCCATTCATTGCCTAGAAAATAAAAAAGTAAATTATTAAGACTTCATAAGAAGAAATTAAAATATTATGAAGACTTTGTTAATTCAGTTAAGAAATACACATATTTATCAAAAGCCTCTAAGTGCCAGACATTGTGTTCTGTGGAAAGGACATAAATATAAATAAAATACAATAATAAGATATAATAATGATGATCATTACATCTAATTATTTTAATTCTTCTTTTGTTTAGACACTGAAAAATAGGTTATAAATTTACTTTTACGAAACCAAGCTGAATATTTCAAATACGGCTAGAGAGCCTTAATGCCTCAAATTAGAAATGAAACCCATTAAGTGTGGAAATAAACATAGGATGCTTGAGGAAATAGATCATTTTCACCAAACAGGTAAGTCTTCAGGGATATAACATAAAAACTTAACAAAATAAACTTTGTTTAGGGAATACAAATGTATACATAACTCTGTAGTGACTTTCTAGTTAAGATAATGATGAATTATTGAATATCCAAAAGTAAAAATAATAAAAAATCTAGAGATTTCTTTAGAAACAGGTGCCACTGCATATCAATTCTCTACGGGCTCAAACAACATAAATACTAAGAAATTTTATATACCTCATTTTAATAAATAAAATTCTTATTAGACTTGAATACACTGATTATCCATACAATAAAAATCTTATAAACTACTAAAATTTTTAAGCCTTCTAACATTACCATTTTCTTTAAATGACTTTACTTATCTCTAGCCTTCTCTCAGAAGGAACACAGGTGTCATACTGAAGAAGCACAGATTACACTGACATTCAGCCCAAGAGCGTGGCAGATACTAAGAGCCAGCATTTGGGAAACGTTTAGAGGACACTGAACATAACCAAGCAGCATCAATGACTTGGGGCCTCTGCACAAAACTGGGGCCATCTACTGAGAAATGATAAAGCCCTAGTTTCCTTTTAGTTTTGCTCTCTTTCCTGTTCTCAAGAAGAGTCGATAGACTCCGAGAACCTGACACTATCAGTTCTCTCCATGTCTCCTTTCGTTTAGTGTTTCTAATATTCTGTTGACTATAAATCAAGTTGGAAAAAAATATGTTAAGTAAAAGTAAGGAGAAGGTGAAAGGTAAGCATCTGAAGAGTTAAGTGCCGAAGTGTTTAAACAATTCTTTTAAAATTCTCTTTAAAATTCTTTGGCTTTCTTTGCTTATTCTTGGACTGGGGAGTATCTCTTATTTAATGCTTGATTTTGCTAAAGAGATTAGCAGAGATCTTTTTATATTTTAAGTCAAACAAGAAAAGTAATAAACTCTGCTATTTTAATGTCCAAATCTAGAAATAAAACAGAAAATGTCTCTTTAGCTATTTCTCATATACATCACACATACGATCTGTGAAGTTATATGTTGGTGCTTTTATGCTGCCTTTTTTTGGCTTAAAACTTTCACATATTCTAACCACTTTAAGATACAGACCAAAATTTAGTTAAAAATAAATGTTTCTGTTTCTAAATAACCAGCCAAGTAGAGAAAATGTCCTTTAACCATAAGCGTACAAATGTACTCTGTAAAATAAATAGTTTTCAAAAGCTCTACATTATTAGGATTCTTGCCTGAAAGCTCATTTGCCTCTCTATAATAAAAATGTAGCTCATATCTAACAAGTGATGAAATAGCTATTTCATTCTATTTTCTCTAGAGACTATTTCAATTTCCTTTGAAACTACCTGTATTTTATATCCTAATGACTCAATATTAAATAATTTGTGTTTGACAATGCACAGTTAAAATAAACATGTTAATCTGTCAATATCCTAGTTTAAAAACCAACACACAGCTATTTAATTGCAGAGAAATTACACTAGTGATCTCCAATTGATGCAGCCTTTCTGACTTCATGGACACTTCCTCTGAACCTACAGGAAGAAACCTGTGGGGCAGCCACAGTTTGAGAACTCTTCTGGCAACAAAGCAGCTACAAGCATCCTAGTACTTACTACACGGTCAGCCCTCTCCCGTGTGTGGAGAGAACTCACCACAGGTTCAGTCAGTTACCCCAGAACCAGCTTCCCAAACTAACTAGCAGTTCCTCCCAGCTAGATCTCTTTGTTTCTTGGTCTGGACACTGAGTTAACAGTTGTAGGCCAGCAGCTGCTACCCTGAGAATATATGAAGGTAAAAAGACATGGAACTAGGATTTGAGTAACGTACAAAAGAACAGTGGGTGAGAGGCTGTGAGGGAGGAGGAGTTGGGGAGGAAACGGAAGATTGAGTGAGGAAGTGTGAAAGAGCGTGGGAGACGAGGACAGAGGCAGATCATTAGAGGCAGGGGCCACAGACATTCTGGACCACTCATGTTTCACTCTCAACTTATTCTCCACTAGGTTACAGATGATGGAAGATGCTACTACAAGGCAAGCAGAGTACTCACTCCTTATCCTCAAGGAGCAATAAGGAAGCTAGTTCCCACTGTGAGTCACATACACAGAAGAAAGAGACAGATCCAGACAGGGGATGGGAAGTCAGAGCCTGGAAGAAAATATTAAATCAGAAGGTTCCACCCTATTTCTCTATTGTCGACTTTTCAACTCCCAAGAGGTTCTTTTGGGGGACAAAAACAGAATGAAGAACAAGGTTAGAATAAAGGGAAGAGGAATGAGAAAGTCTATACTCTAGGAAACAGTGGTAACAACTGCCACCCAACTCCAGGAGAGCTACACTGTTCTTTACTATCAGGGAGGAAAGGATCACAAAGACTAAAGAAAACTGCTAAAGTAGAGTCAGATCTGGATTCATTTTTTCACATAATCTTTCAAATCTTGTCTGATTAGAGTAAAACTATGACATAACAAATGAAAGAAGTTACTAAATTAAACATCCAGAATTTATGAAATACTTTCATCTGCAAGCTTCTTCCCATACCGTCAGCTGATAGAAACCAGCAGCTGGGGACTCCTTCCGTTAGCTTGGTTCCCGACGGGAGCTCTAATCTCAGTTTGAACTGAAGAGTCTGCCCAGGACACACGGTCATGGCGGGAAGCCCAATGCTGGGAGCAGATTTAGGCAGTTTGGGTAATGTCCTCTGTTTTTCTGCTGGGAATGGGCCATCTACTGTAGCATTTTCAGATGTGAAGATGGGAAGCTATGATATAAAAAAAAACCTGTTATTAAAACACAAGTACTTTATAGAAATTATCGAGTCAGAGAGCTTACTTTTAGAGTGTAGTAGAAAAATGAAGTTCTATATCATTCAGGTCTGAATTAGAATGTATTTATTTGGACACTGTAAAGATTAAAGATTATGTTGTAGGTACAAAAACACAGTTTATCTTAGCAAAAAAACCCCAAAATTCCCACTTCTGAATGAGATAGAACTAAATTAATTGTCCAATGGTTACAAAGGGTAGGAAATTAAAGCAAAAACTTTATAAATTTAAATGTACTAGATATATTATACATTCTCATAATTTTCATTGTTAACTATAAGAAGATGTTACTTATATCAGAGATCTACGTAAAGAGAAAGGACACATTTATGATGGTAATTGTGTTTTTTGTTTGTTTGTTTTACTTTAAAAGATATACCTTGCAAATTACTAGACTTTAGGGATAAAAGTTTTGTACTTTCTGGTAAATATAATACATCAAGAGTTAGCTTGTAATAAGGCATTTCTCCTTGAAAATTCTATAAAGAATCATATCTACATCTTTAAAAACTGATTAGAATTTAAAGTTTCTTCTAATTTTATTTTCAATGTCTTGAGAAATACAGCTTCTTTTAGTAATGGACTCAGCATGGGAAACAAAGACTACACATTAACCTGAGGACCACTGAAAAAACGAAGAGCTAACCCGGTCCACACGGTACGTGTACGCAGTGTGTCAGGATGTCCATTTGCTTACAGCCAGATCTGAATCCTCTCTGTTTTTTTTTTTTAAAGGTTTATCAAATTCTCTCCAACTTCCAGTATCATTCTCAAACTCTCAGCACAGATGAAACTTTTATTTTAAGACTAACAGGATATCTTTAGAGCAGTCCTGCTGGTCCACATCTCTGCTCGAGACAGCCTCACTGAAAATGCCTCTGTCAGGACTGTGAAAGAGCTCAGATACCTTTCTTAAAACCACACCCTTTAACTTACACTTTAAAATTACTTACCACAGAAATTGTTTTTGTTTCTAAATCCATTACTTTAATCTGATGATTATTGGTGTCTGCTACATATAACAACTGACCATTCTCTCCAATACATAAACCTCCAGGTTCATTGAAAGTTGACTCAGCAAAGCTGGAACTGATAACATTATTTGTGTCTCCGGTTCCTGCTAATGTCATACAGTTTTTTGTTTTTGGATCCACAACTTTAATCTAGAAGACAAAGAACAAAATTTATAGATCTGAAGAGTTCAGGTGTATGTGGTATGGAAGAGTGTAATGTCAAAAAATTAGAGAATATCTGATTACCATTAGTATTCTCAATAAATCTCACAAAAAAATAGGTATTTCCATATTTTCTTGAAAAGCCACACATTCAAATTACACTCTAAAAGGAGATACTCTAATTTAAGAGCTAAAATCTATGTATAATCTCTAGTTATATCTTGTCTTCTTTTTTTTTTTTTTGAGACAGAGCCTCAAGCTGTCCCCCTGGGTAGAGTCCCGTGGCATTGCAGCTCACAGCAACCTCCAACTCCTGGGCTCAAGCGAGTCTCCTGCCTCTGCCTCCCAAGTAGCTGGGACCACAGGCGCCCGCCACAACGCCTGGCTATTTTTTAGTTGCAGCCGTCATTGTTGTTTGGCGGGTCCGGGCCGGGGATTCGAACCCGCCACCTTAGGTGTACGTGGCTGGCGCCTTAGCCGGTTGAGCTATAGGCGCTGAGCCTATCTTGTCTTCTAGAAGCAAACTTTGCTAAGATTATTTCTGGAAGTAAAATAAATTTAAATTGTATTGTTTTTCTTTACAACGGACTTGACTTTCTCCTCATGAGTACCTGATGTTGCCTGAGGATTTTCTCCATGTCTTAAACTCAGCGATTGCTGGTAATAGCTCAACTATATTGACTCTGTGGTCTCTCATCACAAAGTACTGCATGAACATTCATTATCCACTGATTATTGTAAAAAAGAAAAATGCAATAAAAACTGAATTAAAATAGATAAAAATGGAAATGCAGCTGGAAACAAAATCGTTTGTTAACAGCCATTATATCCATCCGACAGCTCAGAATTGTTCTTTTCGGTTGACGTGTCAGTTTCCCGGTTACCTGCCTTCTCCTTATTTATTGAGTATGTTACTGAGCAGCTTTGATGGGATGCAATTCACAGCTTTAGATCATAGACAGTGGAGCTGGTTTGGTGCTTGCCTGAGTTCAGGATACCATCAAAACCTCTTGGCAATAAAAGGACCAAGAACAGAACAGAACAAAGTGCCACAGTCATCAGAGGCTGTTATTCCTCTCTTATTCTAGAGTGGCAGTTGTAGGAGGCTCGTAGATCCTTCAGCATTTTTAAATACCACATATGAAAAACAAGGTATTATGTAATTCTGTCAGGACTCACCTACCTTGTGATTGTAGGAGTCCGCCACATACAGTAAATTCCTTTTCTTGTCCCATGTTACTCCAAGGGGGTGCTGAAGCTTTGCATTGATTCCTACTCCATCAACATCACCAAAAGCAAATAAATTCTTTTATTTTTTTAAAAGAAAGAAACAGCAGTTATTACATTTTTTACAGTGCTTTGTTAGAAAGTAAAGTGAAAATTAAAATAGTTGTATTTGCTATTTTAGTTAAAAGGAGAAAAGGCCTGATTTTCATAAAAATAGGGGTGTGTACTTGACTCAGATTAGAAAGAAATAATACAACTTTGAGCTGTATTAGTTTGTGGTGCTTCATGATTTTACCCACACAGTCAGACTTTGGGTCAAGAAGGGGTCAGGTCTGCTGGTCAGGTGTTCCACCCACCCCACTGCCCCATATCTAATTTACACTTTTCTATTCTCTCTAGTGATCAATATTTCATCTTCCCTGTCTCCCTGAAGCCTTAACATTTGTATATAATCACATAGAGTCAATTTACTTTGCTTAGATGGTTTGTTACTTGTGTTTCTTTGTATTCTCACTGGCCATGCTTTGACGTCCACTTTAACTCATGGACAGGCCAAGACTGATCTCTCTCAAACCTTATTAACTTTCCACAATTCAAGAACCTGCCAGCTTGGCCAGTCTGAGCAGTGGTGCAAGAGTGACGGTCATTACCATGGGATCTCGTTCTCCTCCCACGAGGTGCTTCACCGCTCCATCTTTCAGAGAGACTGTTCTCACTGTACTGCTCTCACTATCTACCACAAATAGGCAGCTCCAGGGCTCCCCGGAGGCCAGGGAAAGGCCCGAGGGCTGGGCGAAGCCGGCCTTGTGTGGATAGGCGTTGTTCCGATTCTCTTCATTTCCACTGCCAGCAAACCGAAGGCAGGTTCCTTTTTTTAACTCACTGAAAAAAACAAATTCATAGGTGGAGTCAACATGTGGTGTATATTGCCAATCTGGTTATTAAATTAATGAAGGTAAATGATCAAATCAATGGTGACAGGCATTGTAAACAACAAACAAGCCCCTCCCCCGAATTAGTTAGGGGTAATTAATTTGCCCCTTGCCTGGAAAACGCCCACTCCCCTGTTTGAACTCCCATTCCTCTCCTAACCTTGGCCTAGTTAAATTGTGTAAGTCAGCTTTCATTGCTGTTTTTCCAATCATTAACTTATTTAGCCACTGTGCAGGGACTTTCTACTTTTTTCTGACACACAAAACTGAAACTACTCTCAAAGACCAGACAGGAAATTATCAGGTTAAATCATATTATTGATAACATAATATTTTTTCTGCCTTAACTTCTAGATTTTTTCTTGGCTTCAGTACATTATTAGGTTCTAAAACGGAGCTAAACAGGTCACTTGATAGTTTAAAGCTTAAATTTTTATTAAAAATGTTTTGTGACTAGCAAAAATAACTAAAGAATAGTTTATGAAAGATACCCAGGTCAGGCATCATCATTTTAAGAAAATGACAGTAGATAATTATGATGCTTTAATGAATCAATTATACAAATCAATTTCTTATATGCAGTAGAGAAATTTCTATTTAAATGACTACTGCAATGATTCCTTTTATAGTGCAGAAAAATTTTTACACTTTGGTTTCTAAATTTATGCCAGAGGACTTGTGAGCAATACATGGTAAGTGCATTGCTCTGATAGACAGGAAGAAGCTGACCAATGCATCCTAAGGCAAAATGAGAGATTATCTGTATATTATTTCCAAGTATGGTACAATATGTAAAAGTCTAACATGACCATTGCTTATTGGTTGCAATGTTCCCAGTGCTAAGTTAGGTAGGCAGCAGGGGACAGAAGCAAAGTGATACAGCATGGATAAAATATGGACACTTTTCAACAAAGTTACAGAAATAATCTAGCTAGGAAAATACATGTAATAAATATGCAAAACAAATAAAATGGAAGGTAATCACTATAAGGAGTCTTAACACTTTAAAAAACTTCCCTTAACTAAATAAAAGACTAGGAAGAAACAGCGACTTTTAAAACATTAGGGGTGGGGCAGCGCCTGTGGCTCAAAGGAGTAAGGCGCTGGCCCCATATGCCACAGGTGGTGGGTTCAAACCCAGCCACAGCCAAAAACTGCAAAAAACAAACAAACAAACAAACAAACAAAAATTAGGGGTCATATCCCCCTGAAGATCAGTAATAACGCAAGCTAATACAACCTGAAAATTAAGGGGTAGGTCAGTATCATCTAAGGCACCATTTTCCTATTGTGATTGAGAGTCACAGCTCTAGTTGTTAGGAAATCTAGGGAGCTCTTGACCATCTATGTTCAAATCAGCCATCACCTAGAATAGCATATTCTGGCAACCTGTTACTTCTGTTTGCTATTTATAATTATGTCTCACCCAACTCTTACTGGTAACCTCACTGTTGAGGCTACTATTATCTCGTGCCTGGATAATAGCAGTAGCCTCCTCAAATGGTGTCTGTCTCTAGTCTTGTCCCACTAGAGTGCTGCCAGTGTTCTTTCAAAAACACAAATCTAATCATGTCCTGTCCCAGCTTAAACCTTCTATAAAGGCTTGTCGAATGTCCAAATCTCTTAAAAGAACCCACACGCACAATCTGGCTTCCGCTGACATTGTGCTGACTCTTGCCTGGAAAACCTCCCACTCCCCTGTCTAACTCCCACTCCTCTCCTGACTAGGTCTTGGTTTAGGAGCCTCTTCCAGGAAGTCACCCTTGACACCCCAAAATCTATTGAAATTGGGTGCTTCTCTTACTTATGAAAGAAAAAAATTGTAACTTAAGGGACTACTGCGATTTCTTTTACCCACACTGCTTTTAAATTTCTTGCTGATCTGATTCTTCCTCTCTAAGTCCATTGAGAACAGCAACGACATCTTTCAATTTTATTCTTAACTCAATGAGCATATCATTTTCATCCCTACTGCCTAGCATTTAGTATGATTTATAAATATTTTCTAGATGATTAAATGTATAAAACATAAATGTGTTCAAAGCAACACGCACACACACACACACACACCCCATTTAGGAAACCTGAGGGTTTGGATTATCTATACAATTGTTCCTTTCTATTGATAAAGACAACTGAGATGACCATTTTCTGTGGTTATCTGAGAGCCTTTCTGGTCTATGACTGTCATTCCTTTATTTATTCTGCAAATGCTTACTGAGCTCCTATTATGTCCCAGATATTATGCTAAGACACAAAAATGAATGGGACAGGGTCCCCTCCTTTAAGAGAAAGTCTAGTAGGAGGTAACAGTTAAAAATAAGTGCAATCAAAGAGAGAGAGGAGAAAGGAGGGAGAAAGGGAGAGAGAGGACAAGCAGACTTATCCATGGAGTGACAGACCTATACACCAGGATTTACACGGTCCCAGGGAAGAGTATGGCCAGTGCTACCAGGGGTGTTGGAGAAAGAGGAAAGGTGGAAAGCGATGAGACATCTTTATATAAGGATGAGATTTATCCTTATATCCCAACAGTGGCAACAAAGCCACTTGTGTTTATTGTCTATGTCAGGAACTATGTAGAGCTCTCACACATAATATTAATTCTCAAAACAAGCCTATGATATAATATAAATAAGAAAATAAGTCTTAGTAATTTAAAATGACTTTCCTAAATTTATACAGATAGCAAGTGGTAGAGCCAGGATTTAATCTTGGGCCTGACTACAGAACTTGACTTATTAACCACTCTGCTATGTGGTACTCCACTATTTGAATGAATGACTGAAGATACTTGAGCTATGTCTTAAGATAAGGCCCATCAGCTATTCCTAGCTCTCTTTCTAGGTGTTCAGGAGCATGGCTTTTCCCAGGTTCCTTTAAGTTAAGTATGATCATATGGCTTACTCTGGCTGATGAATTATGAGGAGAGTGGATGTGTGGCACTTCTGAGTACAAGTTTTAAGAGCCAGTGAGTGACGTACCACCTCCTTCTTGTTCTGCCAGGATGACTGGCAAAGTTCCAGTGGCTGTTCATCAGCAGGGGTGGCACAGTGCTCCCCAGTGAACCTGTGAGTGAGCAAGACTCACACCTGGTTTTAAGCCACTGAAAACCTGGGCTGTTTGTGAAGGTAGTATAGGCGCATATCGTGACTAGCCCAGTGGGGCTGTGAGGGTGATGATGCTGTGAACAAGGATTCTAGGAACCCCAAACAGTAAAGTCTACTCGAAGAGTGGCCACTTACCTTTTCTTTGGCAGTTTGCCAGAGTCCAGAAGGAGTGCCCATATTTGATGAGTCCCTGCCATGGCAATCCACAGAATGTCATCTCTTTGGACCTCTGAATCTTTATAAAAATAAATAATAATTGTTATATACATATCTCGTTAACATGAACACTGATTGTTTCAAAATTTTAAATCTAGGAAAGATAACAGTATGTTTATAAATCATCTTATAAAAAGTTAAAAATATTTGCAACCCAAAGTAAAACTATTTGCAATGTTTGGAATTATTTTTGAAAGTTTTGTTTTCCTTTTAATGGGTTTATTTCTTTAGATTTGTAATTTACCTGCAACAATTTCACAGAAATCCATACCAGTCTTAATAACAATGTGTCTCTCTACATTTCTGGGCACAAGATTTGTAAACATTTGATTTCTTATTTTATGCAATAGAAGAAACAGGCTGACAAATTTTCCAAAGAGACTCTTTGCTAGTCCAATACTTAGCACTAAAACCTAAGTAACAAGCTTTAGTAACAGGTGCTTTGAACAATTTCCACAGAAAAACTATCTTTGGAGAGTTAAAGAAATGTGTATTGCTACTACAGTATTAGTTTTTTTTTTGTTTGTTTGTTTGTTTTTTTTTGAGACAGAGCCTCAAGCTATCCCCCTGGGTAGAGTGCCGTGGCATTACAGCTCACAGCAACCTCCAACTCCTGGGCTCAAGCGAGCCTCCTGCCTCCGCCTCCCAAATAGCTGGGACCACAGGTGCCCGCCACAACACCCGGCTATTTTTTGGTTGCAGCCGTCATTGTTGTTTGGCGGGTCCGGGCTGGATTCGAACCCGCCACCTTAGGTGTACTTGGCTGGCGCCTTAGCCGGTTGAGCTATAGGCGCCGAGCCACAGTATTAGTTTTGAGACTCAAACACAATGCAAAATAGGTATTTAAAAATCCATTGTTTAATACACCTTTTCAAAAAAATATAGCTGACATACAAGACAAAGAATTCAATATAATATAGCTCTGTTTGCTAAAATTAATAATTAACTTTCTATTTTTAAAGAGACTGATGTCATAATGTATTACGATGTGACAAAACTATTTTTCAAGTTAATTCTATTGTGTTAAAATATTCAATTATTTTGATTTCAAAAATACCCTGAGGCTACTTTTAAAAGTAATTGAGGTTGATGCCTCCTTTGGAAGAGTTTAGTCTCTACCATCTTGCAAATGTCCAACTATACTTTCTATGCTTTGTCTTTAATAAATGTCTTTCCTTCATGTGTAGCAAAAAGAAGTAATTGAGATACTTTACCTAAAATAATTTGGTCAGTTAACTTACACTAAAAGAAATTATCTTCATAAAAGGCTATTTTATTTGCATTTCCTTTGAGTAGTCTATGTCCCAATGAAAATTTTCTCCCATAACTTTTTCACTTTCTAGTGTCTTTTACTTTAACACAAAACAATGAGGATGATTCTCAACAAACTGCAGTTGCTATGTGCCCAGCACTTTATAGAAATTGTCACTCAAATTTTCTCAAAGGCCCCTGGAGACAGAACTGTCAGCAGGCCTAGTTTCCTGATGAAGAAACTGGGACGGAGCAAGCAAAGAGGCAAGGTAACTTGCCAGGACTACAGAGCTGCGAAAACAGGAACCAGAATCTGAACCCAAGCAGCCCAGCAGAAAAATTTATGCCCACCTTACCTAACAAATGCAAACATTATAAGCTAATTGTGTATTAATCTCATGTTAATCTGAAAAAAAAAAAAAGAAAACGGAAAATCTATGCTTTTACATTTCACGTGTTGCCTCTTTCTGTGTTCTTAATTGCTATCCAATAAAATCTAAAGAGTAATTTACTTTTTCATACTCAGATGCCTATAAACATAAATTCTACTAAAAATGACCCTGGTGTCTGTATATTCTGGGGTCTCAGTCTCTGTTTAATCAGCTCCAAACTAGATTAAAAGCTTTCCACAATTAACTTTTAACATACCACAATGTTCCTTTGGTTATTCTAGAGCCACAATCTGGGACTACTAGAATGAATAGGAAACCTAAGCTAACAAAATATTCCCTGTAATTCCAGATATACTGACACGCAAATGAAAGGTTCAAAGTATGTGAAACACTGAGAATCATGCTTGGAGGAAGCAACTCTCAAACGTTAGCCATGATTATTGTTTAATGGAGCTGGATCTTAATTTCACAGTAAGTTGTATTAGGGGAATAGAAATAAATCTTCTACTTATGAGGTCTGTTATTTTACAGTGAGCATTAACAATGCATGTATTACCCACAGATGATATTTGGTACCTAAGAAAGCACTCATTGTAGAATTACTTTTTGGTGTTAAATCTATCACAAGTTTAAGATTATAAACTTTTTAGAAATAAACAATAAAAATGACAGAGTTTTACATCCCTGCCCAGTCAATAGTATTAACTAAAGAAATAACCAAACCAAAGAAAAACTTTACTAGGCAGTACAAAAAAAGGCATAGAAAGTTAGCAAAATGAATAATCTTATTCATTTTAACTTAATTTGACATGTTTTCCATTCACAATATTCCAAAGCTTTCATATATTCATAACATTTTTTAAATGCTGTATTAAGAACTATCAATGATTACGTGTTCAAATCCTCTACCCAGTTCTCCACTTTCTCTGACTGGAACTAAATTATTCTTGCAGTAATTGTGATAAAACACTGAAGGATGAGAGCTTCTGAAAACACCTCTTCATTTAAAACCTGGGCTTTGGAACCAGGTGGGCCTGGATTTGAACCCAAGCGGCATCACTTTCTGATTTGTGTGCCTCAGCTTCCTCTTCTGGAAAATGAGGATATCACCACCCATTTCATACGCTTATTGGGAAGAACGAATAAGGAAATCCAAGTAAGATGCCAAACGTGGTCCCTGGCACAGGTTACTTGCTGTTTTCCAACTTTTCTATACCAAGCTTGCTTCCTCCTTCCTCTTTCCAGAAAGCACATCTCCAGATAATTGGCATTCATTCAGATCTGTGCTCAAGTTTCCTGCGCCCCCATCTAATACGACACACAAATACATACGCACACCCCCCGGTTCTCCAGCCCCTTACCTTGCCTGACTTTTCTCAGCGGCATTTATCACTATCTTATATGTTATATACTTATTTATTGTTTACTATCTTTCTCTTCTACTGAGCCTAAGAGGCCAACAGCTTTGTGTGTATGTGTTTTTTTTTTTTTTTTTTGTAGAGACAGAGTCTCACTTTATCGCCATTGGTAGAGAGCAATGGCGTCACAGCTCACAGCAACCTCCAACTCCTGGGCTTAGGCAATTCTCTTGCCTCAATCTCCTGAGTAGCTGGGACTACAGGCGCCTGCCACAATGCCCGGCTATTTTTTCACTGCAGTTTGGCTGGGGCTGGGTTTGCCACCCCCAGTATATGGGGCCGGCGCCCTACCAACTGAACCACAGGCACTGCCCCCAACACCTTTGTTTTACCCGTGGCTTTATTATCAGCACCCATAACAGTGCTTGGTACATGGCAAATACTCAGTAAATACTTGTTGAGTGAGTAAACGTCCCCCTAGATATCACAAGAGAATTGTTCTGTTTTTTGTCACTATGTCTGTAAGCCCTAAAATTATCCTAATGATGGTTGGTATTTCCTAACAGTACCAATGATTCATCACTAATCAAAGAAGTCTGCTATACATGTAAACCTGTGCCATTATCCTCTAGGACAATGATTCTGCATGGGAATAGCATCTGACCCTCAAAACAGTTTTGGATATTGGATAGGTTACATATTGTATGACAGTATAGTCATGTCAGAATATTTACATATGAACACCTTATTTTTATTAAAAATTATGCTTACTTCTTCATATTTAAAAATGTGTAAGTGTAGGTGGATTATATGATCTATAGATTTCACTTTAGATAGGATAAAAAAGGCTTTTCATAAAATTCAAAATGCGAAGAGAATTTGAGATCTGAAAGTCACACATAAAAATAAAGCCTTTCAACATCTCTACCAAGCTTCCATTCCTGATAGAAACTCAGCAAACAAGGATCAGAAGGCAACTAATTTCATCTTACAAAGAATATTGATAAAAAGAACTTATAGCAAACATCCTATGTAACAGTGAAATTCTGCAAACATTCCCGCTCTGAATAAAAGTCATACAAAGACACCCACTATCAACACTTCTATTTAGCATCATATAGAGGTGTGAATGTGCGCAACAAAGAAGGAAAAAGACGCAAAAAGCCTAAAGACCAGAAATAAAATGGCAATTATTAGCAGATGACATAGTTATGTATATAGAAAATATTTAAAAATATACAGAGGTCATAAAAGTTGGAGCCATCCTTAATTCCTCCTTTCTCTCACATGTCACACACGGCATCAGCAAATCTTCTTGGCTGTGTATTTAAAATATATCCAAAATCTGGCCAGGTGCAGTGGCTCATACTGGTAATCCCACTACTTTGGGAGGCCAAGGCAGGAGGATCTTTTGAGCCCAGGAGTTCAAGACCAATCTGGACAACACAGTGAGACCCTGTCTCTACAAAAAGCCAAAATATATCCAGAATCTGACAACTTCTTAGCACCTCCACCTTGACCTAAGTCACCATCAAGGATTACCTTCTAACTGGTCTGTCACCCTGTTCTCACAGGCTCCTTACTTTTCTTTCACATGAATGTCCTAACCTGAGAAAATTCGGTGGCTTGGCTCCTGTGGCTCAAGTGGCTAAGGCGCCAGCCACATACACCTGAACTGATGGGTTTGAATCCAGCCTGGGCCCGCCAAACAACAATGACGGCTGCAACCAAAAAATAGCCAGGCATCGTGGCAGGTGCCTGTGGTCCCAGCTACCTGGGAGGTTGAGGCAGGAGACTCACTTGAGTCCAGGAGATGGAGGTTGCTGTGAGCTGTGATGCCACAGCACTCTACCCAGGGGGACAGCTTGAGGCTCCATCTAAAAAAAAAAAAAAAAAAAGAAAATTCGGGAAGGCTGAGTTGGGCAAATTTAGCTCCAAGTCAGTGATTCTCAACCTTCCTAATGCCGTGGGCCTTTAATACAGTTCCTGTGGGTCGTGACCCACATGCTCTAAGTCTT